CTTTTACAGAATTTATTATTTAATAATACTAGTTACTGGAGGACAGGCTTTCAGGTCCATATTTAACCTCTATCTAAAAACTATGTGTATTCCAAATAGAAAGACTTCTGCCTAGCACTATCCTCTAGTGCCACTTAAAGCAAAATACAGGACTGTAGCTTCCAAAGCACTTTTTCTGGGCTGGGGATTTAGCTCAGCGGCACAGCGCCTGCCTGGCAAGCGCAAGGTCATGAGTTCGATTCCCGGTACTGGAAAAAAAAAAAACAAAACAACCAAAGCAGTTTTTCCACGTGTGTTAGGCTTATTTAGTCCTTGGTAGCACTATAGCACCCGATACTCGGTCATCGTTAATAATACCCGCTTCCTTCTCGCCCTCCCTCTGTACTTTCTCTTTGGTGTATTTGTACAGGCAGCCCCCTCTTTATACTCCAGCTTTTCCAAATACATTCTGCTTCTTCTTTTGCTGGATAAATGGTGAATCTGTGAGCTCCCATGAGAGCCTTTCCAAGGGTGGAAGTGTAGGGTAAATGAGGCCGTGCTGATGCAAGGGTTCTCGCAGGATCTTGCTGTCCTTTTTTTCTTCTTTTTGTCTTTTTGAGACAGGGTCTGGCTATGCAGTTCAGGCTGGCCTTGAGCTCACTTTGTAGCCCAGGCTGGTCTCGAACTTGCGATGATCCTCCTGCCTCAGCCTCCCGAGTGCTGGGATGACAGGCGTGCGCCACCACGCCCGGCTCTTGCTGCCCATTTGTAAGAGCGCCATTTTCCTCTCGCGCTGTGCATAGCTGCTTCCTTCTCAGAGGCTGAGCACTGTCTGCCCTGGGGCTGTGTGTGCAGAGTCCGGGCGACCTGCTCTCACTCAGTTCTCAGTGTGGTCGGCTTTCTGAGAGATTTGGTGGCGGCTGGATGTGCGTCGAGGCCGGCTTGACGGGACGGACACAGCGAACCGCCCGAGCCAGGGGAACAGGCCACCGAAACCTCACTGACGCAAAAGCAGTCGTCACAGCGTCAGAAAGTGAAGCGGCCCTCGCGGCCCAGACTGCCAAGCGGCAGCTGACTGAAACGGAAGAGCAGGGTCATGAAGTGTTCGGAGTAAAACTGTTCTTTTCCAGCTTGGAACGTGCGCCGTGACACTAACTGCCTGTGGTATGAATTTTTAAACCAACTAACGGTTCTCAGAGGCCCAGTCAGGTTGTCAATTTATAGTTTTCAAAATAAGACATATCTGGGGCCGGGGATATAGCTCTGTGGCACAAGCGCTGCCTGGCAAGCGCAAGGCCCCGAGTTCGATTCCCTGTACAAAAAAAAAAAAGATATAAAATAAGGGATATATAAAGCAATCACCGTATTACCATACCAGGTGGAGCTGAATAGATTGAACAAATATAACTAAATAAGTGCCCAAATTACCTCAGCTTGTCCCCCTCTGCTTTCTTTTTTTGTTTGCTGTTGTTCGAGTTTTGAGACAGGGTCTCACCCTGTAGGTCAGATTGGTTTTTTTTTTTTTTGGCTTTTCTCCAGTATCGGGGACCGAACTCACGACCTTGCGCTTGCCAGGCAGGCGCTTTTGCCGCTGAGCTAAATCCCCAGCCCCTCAGACTGGTTTTGAACTCACTGTAGAGTCCAGGCTGGCCCAGAACTCCCAGCAATATTCCTGCCTCAGCTTCCCAAGTGCTGGTATTATAGGCCTCCCCACCACTCCCGTCTCTAGTTCAGCGTTTGAATTCTTTTCCCTAATGATATGCACAACAAAGACAGAATTCTATGGGGAAATGCAAGTCACTTCAAAAGCTGAACACAAATTATGAACACAAACAATTATGTATCACGTAATAACTCATTGTACAACAACATTAGTTTATACTTGCACAATATCCTTGATTTATCTTCAATATTTTATTCCCAGAATAGCCCTGTGAGATAGGTGTGGGTATACTTATTTTACCAATGAAGAAAATGAGGAGCAGGGTGTGGTCACCGAGCTTTACTTTCTCCTTTCGCTTTGCAGCCTTTTAAGTTGCTGTTTAGCCTGAACTAAGTTTCCTTAACTTCTACAGCATTAAACATTCCAACACAATTTTTTTTCTGACACAATTTTTATTTTTTTTCTTTTTCTTTTTCTTTGTCTTTTTGACACAGGGTCTCGCTCTGCAGTTCAGGCTGGCCTTGAACTCGCAAGGATCCTCCTGCCTCAGCCTCCAGAGTGCTGGGATTACAGGTGTGCACCACCAGCCCGGCTTCTGCCGGAGGTTTTTTTTTTTTCCCAGAGGTTTTTATTTGTAATTTTGTCCACTTATTTTTCTTGCAACAAGTTATATGACAAGCTGAAATTTATAAAATGAATGTCTTGGAAAAAACCAAACATGAATATCTCCGGCAAATCCTGAAATACCAGTCTTTAAATGTTAGTTTAAAATCAGTACAGTACAGTATTAGGACTATGGCTATAGCTGGGGCAGAGCCCACACTTAGCACGCATGAGATCTCGGATTCCATCCCCATCACCCAGAATACAAATAAATTTTTAAAAAGCGTACAGAATGATTACAGACTAACAGAATGATTATAAAGTAGTCCCTTTAACTGCAGTAGAGTGACTTCTGAGGTCCCTTGGGATCCTGGAATTCTATAATGATGTTCTGAAGAGAACTGATGGTGTCCCTGAGACGTGGTGACAACACCGGAGAAAATGCCCACGTCTTTTCTACTCGTCCAGCGCTGGGGACGGAACTCGGGGCCTCACGCGTGCTATGCGTGAGCTTTACCGTGAACTGCGTCCCCGGCCCTTCCCCCCGTCTGTGAGGCTGCTGGTAACAGGGAAATACATATGACAGATACACAGAAGTACAGTACAGCAAAACAACTGTGTGCTTTGGGCTGGGGGTGAGTTTGATCCCCAGTACCTCAAAAAAAAAAAAAACAACCGTGTGCTTTATGGCTTAAAAGATAAAAGGAAAATGTACACAGAAACATGACTAACTTACACTTTTTTCTTTGTTATTTTTATTCTTTGAAATTCATAAACAAGCCCGGCACGGGACACACGCCTGTACTAGCTACTCCGCAGGCTAAGGTGGGAGGACTGCGTAAGCCCGTGAGTTCAAGACCAACCTGGGCACCAGGAGAGACTCTCAGAAAAAGAAAATTCTCCAATAGCCCATGTTTGCTTTAGAGAAGTTAGAAATTACTGATAAAAACATGATTCTTCTTTAGCTACGAGCTACACATCGAGCCATTTCTTTAGTATTGTCCGTGTCTAAGAAGTGGGCATCGTTTTCAAATAAAGATGTTTATTGCCCTAACACTTTGGTCTCTCTCTTTCCATTTCAGCAAAGGAGTGTGGTGGTGTCTTCACAGATCCAAAGCGGGTTTTCAAATCTCCAGGCTTCCCAAATGAGTACGAGGACAACCAGATCTGCTATTGGCACATCAGACTCAAGTACGGTCAGCGCATTCACCTGAGTTTCTTGGACTTTGACCTTGAAGATGACCCGGGTTGCCTGGCCGACTACGTTGAAGTGTATGACAGTTACGATGACGTCCACGGGTTTGTTGGAAGGTACGTGTTAAGACAGGAAGTTAAACAATGATGCTTCCTTAATTACTTTTCTCTCCACTGTCCCTAGAATATTTTTGGTCCCTAAAATACTGATTTTTGCACTGTTCCATACTATTTGTCAACATATCACACCCCTTCTCAACAGTGATTTTTGTTAGTGAGCTAGTGGGGGGGCGGAGAAAGAGTTTGTTGGGATTTGTAATTGATCTACTTTCTGTTAACCTCCTAAACATGCTAAATTCAGCAATTGGTGCCTCTTGCCTTGTACAAAGTATTGTGCTGTTACGGACACGTGATAAATTAGCAAAGTACAGCCCTTCTCTCACTCAGTGTAGCTAAATACACAATGCATACCTTTTATTACTAAAGATGTTTTGAGACAGGGTCTCACTATGTAACCCAAGCTGGCCTCAAACCTGCAATCCTCAATTCTGCCTCAGCCTCCCCATGTACTTGGATCACAGGCATGCACTACCATTCCTGGTGGCATTTTTTGCTTGTTTTGTTTGAGATAGATTCTGGCTATGTAGTTCAGGCATGCCTTGAACTCACTGGTTTTTTTGTTTGTTTGTTTTTGGTCTTTTAGAAGGCTTTTTTTTTTTTTTTGGTCTTTTTGAGATAGGGTCTCGCT